GGTGAGGGTGGTAGTGAGGGTGGCAGGAATGATGCAGGTAGAGGCACCCAGCATGTTTGAGCATTGAGCTCCCAATGTTACCCTGCTCTAACTGCCAAGAAAACCTTGCTTTGAATTGCAATGGCTGTTCCATGCATGACCTATATTGTGTTTTTTTCATGGTTGTAAGCCAAAGAATGTGTGTTATCTGATCAAAAATCTCTTACCATGCCTTTTCCTCTTGGTGGCTTTACTCTCCAGGGCAGATATACTAAGACCATGCTTGAAGGCTGAGGCAGCCGGTTTTGTGGCTAAACAGGATCTACGATGAGATACAGATTTGGAGCCAAAAATGAATTTACTAAATTCTAAGGGTTTTGTTTGTTTTTGTTTGTTTTAAATGAGAGCTAAGCCTTTGCTGGTTTGAGATGCTATGCCAACATGTCCACTTACAGAAATGAAATTAACCATAATACCTTTAGTGACTAATTAGAGCTGAATTCGTAGAGAACACTAAATAGCCTGACAAAGTGCTGTGGACGTTGGGACAGGAGTGTGTGGGGAGGGACGGAGCGGCCATCAACGACAAGCCTGCATCTTCCTAGGCTCTCCCGCCAGTGTTTTACCTTTGCTGCAAATGAAAACATTTAAATTTCTTTAAAATTACATTTGACTTAATTACACCCAGGCCCTGATACTGCTAGGCACCCATTTTGCCTGCTTTCCCAGGGGATGGAAGCGGCAGGCTCCTCACCCCAGAAAGACTTGCTTTTCTCCAGGATGCTCGCTATGTGCAGAATGTTAATAGCCCGCTGAGCATGAACAGCTCTGTGGCTCCACTTGAAATATAGAAAAATGGCCCAGACATTAAAAAAGATAAAAGCGAAAAGGGCAGTAATGAATTTAGAGGAAAATGAACATTAATGGCACTAGCATTACCCGTGTTCCCACGTAGCAGATTATTGGAAATCTGTCAAGCACACCAAATTATCTACTCGTCGGCTGCTGCGGGCCCTCTCCAGCCATCCAAAACCAGCAAAAGCAAGACAATTTAAGCTAATTTTACTATTTATAACAATAGAACAGGCCATTAAGATAAATTAATGTCATTATCAAGTTTCTATGAAAATGACAAATACCACTATCTGGAGCAACTGAGGGGCTGTTGACTATAATGAAACCCACTGCACAGGTACTAAAGACAGACACTCCAAGTAATTATATTCTAGTAGCCTGTTTGTTTCCTGACCATTCATTTGCTTTCCCCACAATTAGTTCTGTACACAATATGGTGGAAACTAAACAGTCAACACCATGAAGCATTAGGACTAATTGGGCCATTAGGATGCAGTTTCTAGCCCTTTTCTTCCGAAAGGAGCTGGGAGTAAACAGAGCAGGGGGACAAAGGCACAGATCATCTTAATTTAAGGAAGATACAAACAGGATAATCCATCAGACAGGTGAGGGGGCCTTGCACAGAATTCCCCGAATCCGCCAATGTTCACAAACTCCACAGTGGGGTCCCCTACTCTACCCTCCTCCCGGGAGGCTGTCATACCAGGATGACCCAGTAGCAGCACTGTGGGCTGGAACGGAGCCACCCAGAGGTGCCAAGAATTCCTATCGAGAGCTGGACCTGGCAGCCCTACCAATCGGGACGATGCTGAGTCACTTGAAGTTTTGCTATGAAAG